CAAGGCTTTAGCGCTGTGAAACCTTTCATCCTGCTCCTCTGAAGTACAGAACAGAGTGCCTGATTCGGCCTGGTGCTTGGCACCAAATATCCATGGCAAAAGGAGCCGTCCTGTTCTGAAGAAGCACATTGAGCAAATCCATGTAACTGAGTGAACCATATGTGTATCTGCATGAATTCATCATTTTATTGCATGTAGCAGTATTCTTGTCACTAGCTTGATCCTTTGACAGCCAGACAACTTTTTTAGATCTGTTTTTTTATGGCACGCTCACCCGAGGCAATCTGTACTGTGCCTAAGCATGCTTCACCCCTAAAGTACAGTTTGCTTGCGTACACTTCCTTACACTTGCGTACACTTTCTTGTACCTGGTACGCTTTGAAGAGTTGTGCTTCAGTACGGTACAGTTCATGCACGAGCACAAGCACAGATACACAACGTGGTCAGCTTCCATTATCCAGAAATCCTGGAGTGTTCTGGCTGTAGCTGACTACAATGACTCAAAATAAGCCAGAAAGTCAGTAAAGTTGCTCACATGTTCTCTGTGTTGTTTTCCGATGTGCGGATGCGTAATCGACCACGCTTACCTTCTGTTTTTATATTTACAAGTCTGCCTGTCTTGTAAACTAACAACCAGAATAGTTGAATAGTACTTAAGTCTCTCCCCTGATTAGGCAAATAACCAATCATAGTTTTGGAATTTTGGGATGGCCAATCAGATCACCCATCTAGACACGCCCCTGTTTCTGTTAGAAAAATAAATGTCATGAAGGGACCTTTAATGTGCCCTCCTCTATGTACTTCTAATGACATAAAAATGACAATCTGTCCCCATGGCTGGTATTCCAGTGGAGGAAAGTTGATAATGTAATCTACTGTATGCTCCTGCAGAAGAATATCATAACGTGCCCACAATGCTGCCCTTCCTGTACCATGCCGAAGCACACCTCTTCCAAGCGTGCCAGGGCCAAGGAAGTGTATGGTGCTTGAACACAGATCAGAGCACTCACATTAGTCAAACGAACTGGACTTTCGGGGGAAGCGTGCTTGGGCACGGAACACCCTAAATGTGCTGTTGATAGTAGAAAATGTGCAGAAGTTCCATAAAGTCAACCAAACATGTTTCAAAAGCTGTCCTTTTTACTTCTCTTGTATTATTGTGCACATCAGAAAGCCTTTATCTCCAAGGGATTTGAGAAACGTATCCAGTAATCATTAAACCTGCAACAGCTGATTTTTATTGGCCACTTTTTGGGCATCTTAAACAAGCCGTACACATCAGATCTCTGTTAAACATTTGCTTTTTCACACATCCAGCGGCTACGGAGAAACATCATAATCCCTCTAGAGTCATGTTCATTTCAATCTTATGACCGCAAATCCAATATTCACTCTCCTAACCTTTCTGAAAACTTGTCAAATATCTGATATAAAGTCAGTCAAAATATAATGTTAGAGTTGATGTACCTTCTTCACTGTTTACTGTTCTTCTAGTACTTTTTAAGTGTCCCTGATAATCACTGTATTGAGAAGTGCAGAATGAGTTTTGATAGTTACAGACAACAAAACATCCTCTTGATATTTTGACAAGCAGTGAAAAATAATCCTACCACTTCCACTATCTACAGCCTGCAGAGAGCCCAAATACTCAGTCATGACATATCTGCTCCTGCTCGGTGCATTGAGCGTTTCTATCTGTGAAACATGCTCCTGTAGGTTTCACTTCACATGTTGATGTTCGGATTAGTCAAGTTTTACTGGAGTATTTTAAAGTTGTAACCATTATTTTTTTTTCAAGGTGAAATGGGTAAATTTGAATATTTACATCCTCTATAATAATTGTTTGATTGGATGAGAATAATCTGATTCCTCACCGCGCTGATTTCACAAATCACTACAAGTAGTTGCAGAAAAAAAAGCTTGAACACTGGGATTGATTAGAGATATCTCCAGGGTTCTGATAGCTCTTGGCTTTCTAACAGAGCACCACAGATGTAACCGATGTTTGATTTGATTTGGTCTCTTTTGAGTGTAGTCAGTGAGGCTTCTTTTTTTGGAGACGCTGAACACACTCGGCTTGACATCGACAACAAGGGCATATTTTGGAGCAGATGTCGTGCTCAATAATTCACACGTTTAATCACAGGCAGCACTCAAAAAGACTCCATGAAACCTTCTGCTCGTTCCTTCTTGGAATGCGTAAATACGTGAATAATTAAGTAAAAACTTTGACTCCCCATATGGGCTCACACTGAGTTTTACCATATTGACAGGTTGAGATTGTTGGTAGGAGGAATTAACTTTTTCCTTTCAATGAGATAAACCTTTGTGCCTGAGTCAAGCATATTTGACTCTAAACCCCTAATAGCTCCCGTTGCTTCGTCTGTGGTGTATTCATGTGTATGGATGGGACAATCAGGGTGTGAATGTGTCGGTGTGACCTGCAGTGTAAAAGTGCTTTGAGTAGTGAGAAGACTAGAAAAGCAAGCTCAAATCCATTTACCATTCTTCCTGCAGCTCCCTCTATCCCACTTTCCGAGAACAACACAGTCTCAGTCGATGGCTGTTCGACTTCCTGCACTGGAGGAAGCGCGTGCTCACGTTGACTAGCAGTAATGAAAGGCATCAAAACACAGCTCGCATGGTCAGGAAGCAATTCAGAACGACTTAGAAGCAGATGAGGAGATAGGGAGACGGAGTGTTGTTTAAGATGACGCAACGTTAGCAGATGTGTCTTCTTGCTGACAATGCGACCGTGACTGGTTTTGAATGTGCGTTTTGACAGGCAGATGCTCTCCTCTTTTTCCAGTGCTGCCAACCACCACTGAATCCTCTAGTGGTACGCAGAGGACGGTACCTGCCTTCGTTAACCCCAGCCTACAACCTACTCGACAGCTACTTTCAATGCCAAATGAATATGGGGCATTGACTTAAAATACAAAAGTTAGCATATTGACTTAGACATGCTATTTATGCTTTTGATTACTAACTATTCAAAATTGGTGTCAATTTAAATGCAATGGGAATCTATGCGCTAACTAAAGAGCGTTACATTAGTGTCCTAAAACAACAACGCAGGCCATAGGTAATAACAGCTTGAGCCAAGGATAGTTTTGTCTACCGCTTGCGCTAATCTCCTTCGTGCAAGTGGAGGAGGGGTTGGAGGTGTGCCGTTGGAGGAGAGCGGAGGCTTCAGTATGGCAGGGGTGTCGCAATTTGACATAAAGTATGTCATAAAACATTATCTTTAATTGTATGGTGTGATTTTTACAAGTTTAAAGAATACTCTTGTTTTGCTCTTTTGTTCTAGTATTCATTGTTTCACCCACCCCTCCCTTATGGGTGTCTATAACTCTCATCATTGTGTGTTTCCCCACCTCTGTGAGTGTGTGCCCGGCCCTATTTTTTTTTTTCTTTACCTTATTAGCCTCACCTTCCTAATTGATTTAATCTTAGTCATCCCCCTGTTTCTGTGCCGGTTGGTGTGTGTGTGCCCTGCATTGAGTGTTGTCTCTGAGTGTTTTCAGATCTGTCTTCAGCCTTGTGTTCTTTCTTTTGTTTTTTTTATGCCTCGCCTGCTCTCTTTTGGACTTCACCCTAAGACTGTAAGTCAGATTTTTGGCCCTCTCACCTGGGTCACATTGTCTCTTTATATGCACCAAACTTGATCATTTCAAGTTGAAGACAGTCTTGTCGAATGGCTGAAAAAAAAGTGAATGGAACATGACACACAGCTACTTATCAAGTCACCATCATCTGCCAATTGTATGGTCTTAGAAAGATTTCTTCTTAATTTTTTTAAGTTTTTGGAAGCAACTTGCAATGAATTAGCATTTTCTTGTGATATTGATATCAGAGGTAAAATGTATAATCTCATAAAGAGGCTGCTTTTAAAATCATGGACAATACTGCTTATGTCCATGATTACATCTGGACATAAGCATATGATGAAGAAAAAAATACAGGCCTGAAGGTGTTTGACCCTTGCTGCTCATCAAAGTCAGTAAAACAGTAAAAATATACGATGTCAAAGTTATGAAATTGAAACCTTTATCGTCCTGTACCAAATGTGTCCTGCTTGATTGGTTCAACAAATAAACACTGCACTCGAGGGCAGGCACAAGAAATCAACAAATAGGAAATGATTCGATTCAACAGAACGACTCTAAACTTCAAACAACAACAAATGATCAGAATGTTCAAATGAGTGTTTGACACTAACACGGCACACAGGAGATGTCGGGTATATCTAGATTTGCAGGGTACACTGAGTTGAAATTGAAAGTTTAAACCTTTGGTATTTTTATTTGTCTGTCTGAGTTGTGGGACACAACAAAGAAGGCTAAGGTGAAAATGAGTCAGTATCTGAGTGTGTTAAGGCAGGGTTGAATGACTTTGTGTTAGCATCTGGTACTGTGTGTGTGTGTGTGTGTGTGTGTGTGTGTGTGTGTGTGTGTGTGTGTGTGTGTGTGTGTGCGTGTGTGTGTGTGTGCGTGCGTGCGCGTGTGTGTGCGTGTGTGTGCGTGTGTGTGTGTGTGTGTGTGTGTGTGTGTGTGTGTGTGTGTGTGTGTGTGCGTGTGTGTATGTGTGTGTGTGTGTGTGTGTGCGTGCGTGTGCGTGTGTGTGCGTGTGTGTATGTGTGTGTGTGTGTGTGTGTGCAGTAGGTGTTCAGTGTTTGTGTTTATTTGACATCACAACAAAACGTCCTGGTAGTTTTTCTGGCATTGACATCATTTTTCTTGCTTCCTGTCATACACTAAAAATGTAATACCTCTCGTTTCCACTTTCAGAATAGAAAAGAACAAACTAGAATGGAAAAACTGTTTAAAATGAGGACAAAAACCAAGCTTTTGTTAAATCTTTCCTCCATTTTGGAATCATTATTGTCCTGAAAACCTGAAAGCTGTCTGAATAAGATCACGAGCGGAGCTGATATGACATGAGACAGAGATTTCAACTGTGATTCGACTGAATTACTGAGTTTTCTCCTTTCTCCACAGGCCACCAGTTTCCTGTCAGAAGCCCAGTTTTCTGCTGAGTCACCAGAGACTCTGGACCCACTTTTCAAGTTCCATGAGACCATAGCCAAGGTAGGACCATCCTCCTTATCTCAATGCTACACAGATGAAATCACTTACATCACTGTGACTGTCAGTTCTCCAGTTGAGATAACACCGGGACAATATTAACAGCCTGATGCAGCTCTATTCTCCATTAAGAATAACACTGACATTGGGGTCAAGATGGATTCAATTGTGTTTCTCTGTATTGAGCGCAAAGCAAGGAACAAAGGGGAACAGCCAAATGTGCAAAATGAACAAAACATTCATTCAGTGGTTCTTCAGCCACTTTTCTCCATCTCTTAGTTGTAGAAGAAGTCTGTAACTCCACATACATTCTGTCAGCGCTTTGCACTAGCCACCGTTCGCTGCCACTCTAGTCAATCATTTTGTTTCCAAAGCAAGCGCTGCAATCCGTTTCTGGAGCGTGCCACCAGCGCCACTACGCTCTGCTCCGTTTCCAACACACTGCGGATCTAGTTTAGTCGGAGCACCCTGTAAGCACGTGTCAAGCTGGACAGAATAGACAGGAAGTCAGATATGAGGAATCAAGGAGTATATATATATATATATATATATAAGTAATACAAGGAGTGTGCTGTTATTTTCTAAATAAAACACATTATACAAATTCATGATCGTATTTTCTCTAACTTTATCAACATGACGTCAAAACACGTAAACGAACGACGAAATGAAAAAAACAAATCACCTTCAGAAAGGCAAAGCAACTGGATCCGCAGAAATGGATGGGCAGAGCGCGGCGTCCGAAAAGCAATACCGTGGCGCTGATGGACCGCGGTGTGCGCGGAGTATGTGGAAATTAGGTGTAAGAAGTAAGGAAGTGAATAATCAAATACAAAAGATGAGTGAAATGTGTTTGTCTAAAGATAATCTCATCTTTGTTGCAAACAGCGATCCAAAGAAAAATAACTGCTCTTGGTCTATATAAACTTTCATGTCTCTATATTGTGTGGCGATCTTGTTTCAGTTGTTAAGCAGGTCTTCATATTGCAGACAGAATAATTCTTTAAAGCCAATTAAGCCTGGCTCACACTACAGGAGTTTTAAAAATCCTATCCAATTTTGAATCCGGGTATCATCAAAAAAAATAAGGAGAATTTAACACAGATTATTCTCCATAATCTCAAGCATGCCCACACTACAGGACATGAAAATCATGGAACATCACATACTGCAGGACTTTACTAAGATTACCGGGCCCGACGGAGGAACGCACCACCTCATGTGAAATGTTTCTTTTCTTTGAGAATAATAACAGATTTAAACCTCATTGACTCTGTTTGTGGAGGTTTATTGGTTGTTGCTGAGTATGTCACTCAATGGTTGTGTCGATGTTGGGTTCTAAGTCTTCTACGTTTTTAGGACCTTTGGGTGGTCCTACTGGCACCCCGGCAACCCGGCACATGGTCAAACCATTACACAGTTTCTACAGTGAAGTCCCTCGTAGCTGTCTTCATTGCATTGTCAGCTTTAACGTAGAAATGGGATGTGCAGTTTCTCATTTATTTAAATTGATGCACAGACAGCAGCACTGGCAGCAGCATTTTTGTTGATGGCAGGAAACCTCAAAGCGAGCCGATGTCAGTTACTCAGCTGGTGTAGCCTTTTAAAAATGTCAGGGTCATTAGCTAAGTAAAGCACAAAAATATCACCCTCCATTTTAGCTTTGCCAGTCAGAGCCTAAAAGTATGTGTTGATGTTTACTGGAGATCAAGAAGGCTGTGCAGGAACAATCACTGCTGTCTTCTCTTCCAGTTTTCCTGCTACGGCAGATCTGTTGAATAAAAAGCCCCGAGTCGTGCAAAAAAGCCGCAGAGATGTTGAGCTATTTGTCAGCTTTACACATTCAGGGCAGCTCTCCAAACAACAAAAGGGTGCATTTTGGAAAAAAACAAAAGAGGCATCTTGAGGTCAAAATCAGCAACAACAAAAAAATCCACATCCACTTCTAAATCATGTTATCAAAGTCTTGTTTTTCCTCTTTAGCAATGAAAGCGCAAACTCTCAATGACTTCTCTGTTGAAGTCAGATCAAACACACACTTCTTACACAAGCAGTGCCAAATTGAATTTCTCTCAGATTGTAATTTTTTTTTTTTTTACAAAGACCATCGCTGTTAGCAGCAACACTCTCTTAGCTCATAAATGCCACAAGCTCACGGCAGCTTGCAACACTGTAGGATAGCTATCACAGTTTAGTTTAACTTAAGACACAGTGGACACTTTCATACGTTTTCTTGCGGAGGCGAGGCTCTGAGTTAATACTCTTTATTCTCGTATGTCCGCACCACTGCAGCTGATACAATATGTGAGAAATTACGCTTCCTTTACAAGTATCAGCCCGCCAGGAGAAGTGCACTGCTCACCCTGCCGCCGTGTATTTCCATTTACTCTACGCTCCTCTGCAAACATAAGAAACTTTGTTCCAAGCTGTAGAGAGTGGAGGAGCAGGCAGAAATAGTTTAATTTGAGGGAGTAGGATGTGTGGGAGAGAAGACAACAAGTTTGTACATAACAAGCTTTTTTCTTTCAGTGAACAGGGAGCCATCTGTGCCTTTACACTCCTGTAGCATTCTGTCTTTGGTGTATGCCTGTTTGATGTATGCACGATCCACAGTGTGACTTAAAATGGATATAAGTGTATTCCATTGGGGCTGTGAAAGTACTGAAGCACCTGTTCTGTCTGGGTGTAAGCTCGAGCTGCATTTTCAGTGCAAAGCGGAGCTGTTTCAACATCTTTGCAGTAACTTGCCTTCCTGCATCTTTGCTTTTGATTGAGTCTCAGGAGAGGTCTTCCAAAAAGGATTTAATTAATCCGTAGAATATCCAAAGGAATATAAAGGAAGGTTAATCAAAGGAATATCTCCAATGTTGTGACGTCATTAAGCTGACAAATTATTCTCATGTCTCAACACCCAACCCTGAAGAGGAAACAAGAAACAAGCCATCATTCTGATTTTTTGACTCCATAAAAACTTGAGATTATTTCTAATTTTACTCCTAAAAGGTTTTGTCAACTTGTCACTGGATTTTAAGGTCACATATTATACTCCTCTTCAACCAGTTTAAATAAGTCTCAGAGCTCCCCAAAACATGTCTGTGAAGTTTCTTGTTCTAAATCCACTCTGATCCTGTATTTGATCATGCCTATAAACCCCTCTATTTCAGCCCTGATCAGAAAAGGCTGTTTCTGTGTCTGTACCTTTAAATGTAAATGAGCTGTGTCTGAGTTGGGCTTTGTCACTCCATGCCCTATTGTATAGGGTGAGAAGGCAGACTCAGAGGGGCAGAACAAACACCTAGCTGTGGGAGTGTCACCCACCTGGGGGAGGGGTTACTGCCCTTAGTGATGTCATGAAGGGAAAATCTCCAAACGATCTGTTTGAGCACAAATTTTCTGAAAAGTGGAGCAGGCAAAAGAGCGAGAGGATGGACTTTTCATATATATATATATATATTTTTTTAGACAGACTAAGGACATATATTTTAGTGTTTTAAAAACATGGTGAAGCGGATTTGCATAATATGTGACCTTTAAGTAAAATAAACGAAAAACAAACACATGCCGTCATATTTCCTGAATGGACAGTCCCAAGAATTCAGTGTTTGTATCAATGAACAAGGCCACCAATAATAGAATAGAAATAGAATAGAATAGAATTACTTAATTGATCCCAAACTGGGAAATTGTGGTGTTACAGCAGCAGGTTATCCAACACACAATATGAGTAAAAAACACAATGTTAGCAATCTAAACACAATATAATATTAAATACAAAGTAAATAAGTACTAAAAAATATCAAAAAAAAATAAGAATAAATGTGAATATATACAACCAGGATTTAACTAAGCATTACTAGTCTTAAATAGGAAGATTAAATATGGAAGATTGAATGTAAATGTGCAAAAACAGAGTTGTAAATGGACAGTATTGACATAAGTTAAAGTTAAGGAGGGATAAAGGGGAATGCTCACATTGGGGAGGGCCCATGGAGGTTAGCAAAAACTTGGTCCATCTTAATTTTATGTAACAATGACCACATTCTATTTTACACCTAAAAGAAAAATACCTTATAGCAACATAAACACACATTTAATTTATTGTTGCTCTACTAAAATGTTGCCTTTTTCAAAATTTAAGCCCCCCTCTTCTTAAAAGGATTTGAGCCTCTTTTTTTTTGTTATGTTACTGGCGTAAGCGGGCCCAGAGAGAGCTTATGTTAGCCAGGAGGCTAGCGCTAACACTACTGTTGGAATGTACATACCTTGGTTTAAATCATAACCTGGGAGGGGCCCATTCACTGGGCCTTTCAGGGCAATGAATGCAAGTCTTTGATGTTTTGAGGAAAAATAACCAAAAAGAAACAAATAGCAAAATCAATATAATAAATAGTCTTTAGCTTGGTAAACTAAACCCTAACCCAACAGTCTCGTTTGTAACTTAAAAGTGAAACTCTGAAGGATCAGAGGATCTGAAGAGATATCAGTGATGAGGGTTCTCCAGTCAATATCTCTTTCACCAGGTATCGACAAAAAACACACTTCAGTTTCTATTCCTACTAATGAAAATGTCCGTGTTCAGACCCCAATGATGAAATGCCAAGATATATCTTTTGACAAATGTATCTGTCAGCATCCGTAGAAAGTGTTGTTTTAGAAATGAGTCCCATCGATCAGCTCAAGGAGCAGTGGAGTGTATGGATAGAAAGTATGAAAAGACGCTTCTTTTACATCTCCATCACGCTTGTTTGCCTCTTTCAAATTGCAGTCATAAAGACATGGGTAATATCTACGGCATGTTCTGAGTTTATATCTTGGATCATTTAGAATTATTATGTGGTGGAATATCAATCGTCAAACTAATACCAAAAACCTATTTCCCTTTGTGGGAAAACAAACAGGGAAAACAGGGTTTAGGCCATTTATATCTCAAAACCAGTACAGCTCATTGTGAGTAAAGGTCTGAGTAGGCCAGACAAGTTAGGCTTTTATTTTAATTTAATTTG